TCAGCCTCAGCAGCCAGCAGCTGTCTGGGTGATGAAAAGCCCCTAGCTCCAGTAGGCTGGGAGCAGGAGGCAAAGCTGAAGCCCAAGGTTGAGGGCCTTTAACCCAGCCCCAAGACCCTGGCACTTTGAACTTGGACTTAAAGACTCCCAAATTGTTTGTTAAAGACTCCTGTTTGTTAAAGCCACCCTATTTGTGTTATATTTCTATCAGAGCAGCACTAGGTAACCAGAATAGTCATAAAAACTGTTGGGAATTAAAACAAACACTTTTTCCCATAAAAACACAGACTAGAACACTGTACTAAGAGGTACTTTCCTTCTATAAAATACAAACAAAAGAGGTGATTAAAGACATTAACTGGATAGATGTGCAGTATGCATCTTAAATTAAGATAAATAACATGAAAGAATTCGTTTTATTTTTGTACCAAGAGAAATAAAATAGAGTAAGTACTGGATTATTTCTTGAAGTTACCTTCTCTAGAAATTTTGCCCTTTTTCAACTCCTTTCTAGAAATAAATTCTGATGGCATTTCATCAGAGTCTTCTTTAATCTCCTCTGTGATGTTCAAATTAGGTGTTGGGAAGATTTTTCCAAATCCTACATTTGATGCATCAACTTCAGTATCAGATAAATCTAAAAGTTCAACATTAACATTAACCATTAAAAATCCTTCCAATTAAAACAGGTGTTTTTTTTTTTTTTTAAGATATCTTTGCCAGTAAAAATCTTTGGTGGTTTTCTCAACACTGTGGAACAGCTACAGGCAAATATTTTCTGTGAAGGCCAAAAGAGTAAATATTTAATTTATGTTTTATAGGCCATATGGTTTCTGTCATAACTACACAACTCTGTCATTGTAGCATAAAAACCACCACAGACAATACTTACAAAGCCTAATGGTTATTCTGTGGTGCCATTTCAAGGGCCTATAAAGTGGGGGGAGAAAGAAATGACTTCTGCTTCAATATATTTAAGTTTGAAGGATTTGATGAAAATGTCTTGTGGACAGATGTGTACATATGTTTGTGTGTAAACCCTCTGCCACTGAGTCGATTCTGGTTCACTGCAACCCTCACTGGGTTTCCAAGGTGGCATATCTTTAAGTAAGTAGATTGCCCCATCTTCCTTCCATGGAGTGGCTAGTGGGTTTGAATCGCCAACCTTCTAATTAGCAGTCAAATGCACCACCAGAGCTCCTTATGTTTGTGTGTAGGGGTGCAATAATCAGTACTTTGCCTATCTATTTTGAGTTATTAATAACTGTATGAACAAAAGAAATTTACAATTAATAAAATATGTAGTCATCAAAGGCATTCTAATGGGACATGTTATTCAAGATTACTTATAAAATGGATACCATGCAAACTTTATAATACTGTATCAGAATACTGTAAAAACAATTTTCAACTTTCTCAAATATGATTAAAATATTAAGATGAGCCAATTTTCTGGAAGGAATAAACATCTTAAAACAAGACACTTCCATTTAGAGTTATAAAAATAATCCATTAAAAAAGCCAATTTTTTTTTCTTAACAAAGCTAATCTTAATCCTGATCTCATTAAAAAAGAACATAAAGATAAAAACACATTTAAAAAATCACTTCTAATTGACTTACAGAAATTTAAAAAGGTGGCAAATTTTCTTGATCAAACAGCAACATATACTATGAATTTAATTATGAGAAGAACTAAACAGGCTTGAGGAATGGGATTGGGAAAATTCCCCTATTTTTCCATAAATAATCACCAACAGAAACAAGCATACACATATATTATGCATCGAGTACAGAGGAAACTAGTATCAAGGGAGTTGTGTGGTTTGCAGAAAATGTTTAATGCATGCATTTGTAATGTGTGCATTACCTGTGTTAAAAAATTGGTGAATATTTACTAGAAATATTCTAGTTACATTACCTAAAAAGTAAAGAAACTCTAAGGGAACGAAAGATGGCAAAAGCTATGAAAATGATATAACTAATAGTCTATACACTGCATTATAATAATCTCTTTATAATGTAGAAAAACCACTGTACAAACAGAACTGTTATGGCCTAAAGGCATCAGTAACAGGAAATACTTTTAAAACTACTTCTAGTATTACTTCAACATTATTACTTTGACACTGATGTAGAATGGGAGGACTGTCTCCCTTTCATATAGGGAGAAACTTTTGAGAAAATTAAGTTCAAAAAAATGAAAATTTGTGTCAAAAGTTGACTAGCTATGAGATTAGAAAAACTTACAAATAGAAAAGTATTGAAAGAAACAGGAGCTTTAAAAAGATAGTGCATTCTCACTAACCATCAGAGACATGAGTTAAAACAATGCAGTTTGTCATTCACTACGTTTGCAATACTTAATGAGAAATATAGCTTACATTCACACAACTGCTCAAAGATATATGTACAAAGATGTAAACTCTAGTATTTTCTGTAATAGTAAAAAAAAGGGAAACAACCTCAACTTCTATTAATAGGGCATGATTAAATAAAAACTGATATAATATAGAATACTATATAGCCAAGTCAAGTATATATTTTTATGTTCTGACATAAGTACTCTAATCTTAAGAAGATTAGAGACCATGTCTAGTTTATATTGCAGGGTCTAGCATAAAACCTATTCTATAATTAGCTTTCAAGAGATGTTACTGAATGAATGATGAACACTATGTTAAACATGATACCCATAAAAAAAAAATATAATGTGGTTATACATGTATATAATAATGTCTGGAAGGATATACACTCATATACGTACACACACAGAGACACACATACACACACACCCCAATTAACAGTAAAACTCTAGGTAGCAGCATGGGGAAGAGTGGGGTTTGGGTTTGGGGTGTTAACTTCAATTTTTTTCCCTTTTATCTGTAGTAAGCTATCTTCCATGCTTTTTGGGTTAGATAGATAGATAGATACATAGATAGACAGACAGATAAACAGATATATACACACATACATACAAATCAACAACCCAACTCACTGCCGTTGAGTTGGTCCCAACTCATAGCAACCCCTCCTTGGGTTTCTGAGACAGTATCTTTACAGAAGTAGATTGCCCGTCTCCCTTCTGAGGAGTGACTAGGGGGTTTGAACCTCTAGACTATGGTTAGCAGTCAAATAATACACACGTACATACATTTCATATGCATTTCGTGTGTGTGTGTGCGCACACACACAAAATTCACAACTCACAGCATAGCTTCTCTGGTTACTTCTTAACTGATAAAATTATACTAATAAAAACAGGATATCAACTAAAACAAGCAATGATAATTAACCCAATTAAAAAAAAAAACCTTAGATAGTTAAACATCAGCAAAACCTATTAAATTTCACTCTAGACTTCATTACTATTAAAAATAACAATGACAATCTTAATATTTAGCATCAATTTTAGTCATATAAGAGAGTTGAAAATGGGTATTATTTAATTATATGGAGGAAGAATTTATTGAATATTTTAAATATAGATCACATATATTAAAATTCAGAAATATTTATATATAAATTTAATTCTAACACAAAACTAATTGAAAACAATGTTTACATAATACATGAATAAAACAGAGTATCCTTACCATAATTTTGTTCCTCACAATTTTGTTCCTTTTCTAAATTTTTCTTAAATGTTGCTGGCATGCCAGTAGATATATGGAATTCAATTTTTTTATTACCTACAGGTTGTGGCTGGTCAAATACATCTGAAGGTAACAGCACGGGATGTAAATTACTGTAAAAACAATCACAGCATTGGTTTATAACTGCAAACAACAAAATCCCAAGTAAAACATTATTTTGAATTTACACTAAATTTGAAAAGCTAACACTGATAAAGTACTAACTACACTACAGGCATCGAACAAAGTATTTTGCATTTAACACTTCAATAAACTCTAACAAAAGCTGTAATATAGGCTTTTCTAAATTCCTAGTTTCTGGATAAGGAGATAAGGTTAAGAAATGTTAGGTAATTTGCATGAAGACATTTAGAAAAGGGGAAAGACAGAACTTGAGGACTACTAATTCTAAACCCCAGGATGTTTAACAATATGAAAAAAGTTCTTTTATTTAATATACATGTATGGTATATTATATTTTATATACTACATGGCTATGCTGCCCAATAAACTAACCACTAGTCTTAGGCTGTTAGTGAGTACTTGAAATGTGGCTATTCCAAATTAAATGTGCTGCAAATATAAAATGCATACCAGATTATGAGGATTTCAAAAAAAGAATATAAAATATTCCAACAATTTTTTACATTGACCATAGATTGAAATGATATTTTGGAAATACTG